CCGATCAATGCCCTTAATAAGGCTCACTCCGTCTGTAACAAACCGCCGAATGGTTGAGATGGTCGCATTTCGGGCGTACACACCCCAAAGTTATAATGCCTTAAGTAATTTAATGTTCAAACTAGAATAACTTGGCTACATATATGGATGATTCTACTTCATTTGCTTCATAAATATCTTTACCTCCTAGCAACATCCCTCACTTTTCCAAGACTGCTTAAACAGCCACATCCCACCTCCTTTTTGTCATATGCTCAAACCATTTAACGTCCACTACGTTGACAAGCAGGTAGACAGGAGTCAAATTCTTTTTTCAGAAGTAAAAACCTGACATTTTCAGTGGGTAAAGGATTGCCTCATTTCGTGAGCATCGTCTTGCCAAACCATTACAGGCGATGTAGCAACCACAACAGTCTTGGATACCGAGGGAAGACAAAACCAGTAAAGAAACCGTAAGACGCAAACAAATTTGGCGGGATGTACATAAGAAATACAATTTCAGACTCACTGTAAATCAAGAAATTTCTAATTCTACAGACAGTAAGGACATTGCTGCAAATATTTCCACTCACTACCCTCCCTCTTTATTCAGAACTCGGATACACCAATCATTAGTCGATTCTGCTTTTCCTCCTAATATGTCTGGGTGCCCCTACCCCTTTTTCTCCCTCTTTCCACTTGCCAGAGGTCTCCGAATGAAGTGGAGGAATATAGAAGGCGTAAGCAAAGACAATGGGCAGAATAGAGAGTCGGAGTGGCAGAATCAGTGGGAGGGTTAGAGAAAAAGACAATGACGCGAGTATAGAGGAGAAGGGGGAGGAGGAGGCGAATGGGTAAAAACATTCTCAAGGAAGTCATTACTCTTGGCTGTCAGAAATTTTCAGAGCATTAAGAGAATTGAAATTGTGCTTCTCAGGCCCATCATGTCGAACGCTCTTGCAATTCATCCACTTTGAAGTGGTTTCTCAAGTTCTCAGCCTCTAGTGCCTGCGACATTTTGGGAAAGGTACAAGTTGACTTTTTCCTTTGATTTTACGTCCTCATTTACTGCAACGCATAAAAAGTGAGTGATAACTGTAGCTATAGTGGACGGACGACCTATGCTGTTGTCTAAGTGGCATAGGAAGATCAACATCTACAGAAAACCCTA